CTAAATTAATTAATCTAATAGCTAATAGCTAAATAATTACTAAGGGGGAAAATAATTAATAAGTAAATACCTAAATTAATAGCTAATAGCCTATTAATTAATTTATTAATAGCCTATAGCTTATAAGCTAGTAACTTACTTAATTTATTAATAGCCTATAGCCTATAAGCTAGTAACTTACTTAATTTATTAATAGCTAATAGCCTATAAGCTAGTAACTTACTAAGACCTAATAGTTCTAAAGTAATAAGGATAGTAATCCCCTATACCTTATCTTATCCCTATGTAATTAATTTATAAGACGTTACTAAGTGTAAAAAGGTGTTAAATTCCTAAGTAACTACAGCTAGCCTATTAGGTAATCTCTAGCTAGTAGTAACCTTATTTAAAGACGTTATAAAAAGGTATTATCCTACTACGTATATAGGTAGTTAGATTACGCTAAGGACTTTATTTAAGGCTACTTTCCTTATAAGGCTTACTTTATAGTAAAAGATTATAGACTATACGTAAGGTAGCTTATAGGTAATAATATAGTTTAGTATATTATAAAGTTAACTAATAAGTAAAGATTACTACCTTTAGCTAAAGCGCACCTAAGGCTACTTAATTAACTATATAACGCCTAGTAAGTATAATAATTATAAAGACGTTACTAGTAAATTACTAGTATATAATAGAGGTGTTACTAGACCTTATAGGCTAATAGGTATATATTAGAAGTTACTATACCTTTTACTAATCTATAGATAGTTAAAAGGCTACCTATATAAAAAGTAATTTAAAGACGTTAAAATAGCGTATCTATATAGGTATAAAATATTAAAATCTTAAGTAATAGTGCTATAAGTAGTAGCTAAAAGGTATTAAATCCTTAGCTACTATTAGGTATATACCTATAAGCTTAATAAATATAGTTAATTAACTAAATTTAAAGTAAGACTTATAGTCTGTAGTAACTAATAAGTAAAGGATCTATAAGATACTTATATAGCTATATTAGTAGGTATATTATTAAAAATACTTATAGTAATAGCTACTTACTTTAACTTAGAACTACTTTAATATAATATAGTAAATATATTTATTTATACTACTATTAATAAGGTAGTATTTATAGAGATACCTCTAGGCTACTAAATTACTAGCTAAATCTTCTAGTTATTAAAAGCGCTCTATAGGCTTTAGTAATTACTTCTACTATAGTAAAAGCACCTTAAAGAAGGACTTACTATATAGGGCTTTTACTAAGTGCCTAGTAAAAATTACTATTAGAAGAAGGATTATATTATATTCTTCTTTTATATTAATAACTATATATTAGCTTATTACTATATAAATAAAGCGTAAGTAAGTAATAAAATAGTAGCTCTTTAGTAATAATACTACCTTAAAGGTAAAGGCTTATTATAGTAGTTCCTTAGCCTTAAGGTAATTTATAACTAAAGTAACTATTATCTCTAGCTCTTATAAGTAGTATATTATAATAAAGTAACTAAACTACTACTAATAAATAAAAAATATAATAAATTATTACCTATAGTAAAAGCTAAGCTACTACTTAGTAATATATAGCCTTATTATAAGAGGTTAACTAATATTAAAAAAAGGTAAAGATAATCCTTTATATAGTAGTAATAACTTAGCTAGACGTTACTTTTATAGCTAGCTAGCTTACTTACTTTAACTATAATCTAAATCTAGATTACTAAAAAGTAGTAAATTAAGTACTTAGGTATCTTTATTAAATATAGCACCTTTACCTTAAATATAAAGTAACACTAGGTAGTAAAGATAATACGTTAGAGGTTACTTTAGACGCCTTATTTACTAATAACTTACTAGACTGTTATAGCTTATAAGTATATACACTAAAGCTATTTAGAGAGCTTATCTCCTAGTAAGTAAATAAATAAGATATAGTAATAACGTTAACTACTAAGGCTAAATTACTAGCCCTATTATCTACTATAAAGGAGGCACTTTTTACTAGTAGATTAATTACTACACTAGGTATTTAACTATTAATATAAATAGGAACTAAATTATTACTTAATAAGTAAGTAGCTACTAAATAGCTACTAACTATTTACGTTAGCTATAATAATACCTAGACTATTAGGCTTATTACTAAGGAGCTTATCTAACTATAGATAAGGCTATAGTATATAAATATTTATAACTACTAGCTATAATAAGAAGTAGTAGTAAATTAGATTACTATTAAATATAAGAAGTCTACTAAATTAATAGCTAATAAATTAATAAAGGCGCTTAGTGCACTATAATTTACTATATTTATAGCTTAATTAAATATAAGTAACTAATATATATACCTTAAAGAAAGTTAATAGTAAGAATTAGCTTATAATAAAGTAAAGCTTTACTACTAGATAAAAGAGGAAAACGTATAAGATATTAAAAAATAATTAATAAATAAATAGGCTATATATAGAGGATATTTAGTATAGGCTCTATAGTAATTAACTACGTTACTAGCGCTAAGGGGGTGTATTAAATATAGCAGAATTATATATAAATTAGCTAGTAAATATATAGTTACCCTATGGTAAATTGTTAGGGAATAGGCAGTAAATTAGCCCTACTTCTAATAGTAACTTTACTAATAATATCGCTAGGATTAGCTAGGGATTTCCTAACTAAGAAATAAGGGTTTTTCCTTATTTCTATAGTAATTTAATATAGACATATAATATATAATAGAATTAATTAAGTAACTATTATAATCCCTATAATTTAATAAGTATTAAGTAATAAATAACTAGTAAAAGTAAGATATATAAGCCTCCTCTTTAGAGGTATTCTTACCTTTTATAAGCTAAGAAGGCTTCTCTTTATACTACTACTTTAAGTAGTATTAAATAGAGGTAAGTAAATTAATTACCTAGAGAAGTTAAGTAGTATACTATATTACTATAATATAATAGTATATATTCTTAGTAGTTATTATTATATAAACTATTTAAATAAATATACTTATAGTAAATAATTAGTAATAACTAGTAATAATAATTAATAGAGATAATAAACTATAATAAGATATTATATAATATAAAAAGAAATTAATTATTAATTATTTCTTATTATTATTATTAAAAAAAGAAGAAAAAGTAAAGTAAGCCTATATAATAAATTAATAAACTTAATAAGTAACTTAACTATCTTAGGCTAATTAGAAAATATAAATAAGAAAAGGTAGTTATTATATAATAATAGCCTTTTTATATTAAATTCTTATTTATCTTTTGTTTATTCTCTTATTATCTAGGTAATAGCTTATTAGATACTACTACCTAGGGGAGTATATTATAAGGAATAAGGCAGCCTAATATAGAATATTAGTATATAATACTACCTCTAGTATAATATTACTTTATAATTTTAAAAACAAGGAAGTATTTAGCTTAAAGGTGTAGTATAATACTATCTAGAAAAAATAAGCTAAAATATATATATCTTAATATAAATTAATAGTAAGTATTAGTTAATAATAATAAAAAGCTTTACTACTAAATAAAAAAGGAAAATATATAATATATTAAATAATAATTAAACAGTAAATAGGCTATATATAGAGAATATTTAGTATAGGCTTTATAGTAATTAATTATAATACTAGTGCTAGAGGGGTATATTAAATATAGTAAAAGTATATCTTTACTTACTAGTAAATATATAGTTACCTTATAGTAAATAGTTAGGGAATAAGTAGTAAAATTACTTTACTTTACTAGTAATTTTACTAATTATATAGCTAGGATTAGTCTAGGATTTCCTAACTAAGAAATAGGTAGTTTTCTCTGTTTCTATAGGATTATACTATATATATATATATATATATATTAACATATAATAGTTAATTAATTAAGTAATATAATCCCTACTATTTAACATATCCTAACACTAATCTTAGTAACAATGCCACCTTCCCTACGACATCTGCCGACATCCGCCGCTCTGTCGTATTTACCCAGGCCAACGTCTCACGTGATACTGTCTATGCTACAATCTCTACAATGCCGCCCCAGTTTGTTCTCGACAGCAATGGTCTCTTTCAGCAGATCATAAGCAACATCAATGTGGTCGCGGTGTCCCTCGTTTCGCGATATCGCCCGCCTGCGGGGCAAGGGTAGGCCCTCAAGTCCTCAGCACAAGCAGAACTTTATCAACCATTCGTGCAGTCAAGGTGTGAAATTTCACGACAAGGACCAGATGCTGAACGCGGGAGGCAAAATCTCTTTTCCTGACCGGAACAAAAGCTTCCGATGTTTCAACCACGAAGGATGCTAGAATTCAAGGGAGGATGTTCGGATATTCAAATTTTCCCACAAAGGAATTAAAGGAAGTAACTCAACATCAGGCGTTACCATCTTCTCAAACAGAAGATATAGCTCTTCCGTCATATTCTTGCGCGGAACCTTAGCCAATACGACAAGACGTCCCAGGTTTACTACTTCTATACCATGACCGCGAACTGGGTACCCTCCACTTTCTCGGCAAGCACTGGAGCGAGTAACCTTCTCTATTCCTCCTTGAGGCATAGCAGAAAATGAAAAGTTTATAGTAAGTCAAGAACATCTGTATTAGATAGGGAATAAAGGGGACACTACTTATTGTTACGTAGTAAACACTAGCAAAAGACTAATCAGTCTTCTATAGGTCTTTTCCTAGAAATGACCTTGTAATTATACTAAAGTTTGTTCTAATAAGGAATATATTTACATTCTAAGTGGCAATAACTCAAACAACCTCTAGCTGTTGTAAAAAAGATAGCATTCCCACAAGTATCTAACTCGTGACCACTCAAATCACGTCCTAGCAGCCCCCTTCAACTCAGTAATTCTCGGTAGCTTTAGTAATCTTGCCAGACTGGAGAACGACGTCCTTGACAACGACCTCAACGCCGTTGACGCTCGTGACGCGCACCCAGCAGGTGGCACTAGGAAGCGTGCCGGTGATCTCCCACATATTGGGGTCGTGGAGGGTAGCCGTTTTCCAGGTGGCGCCCTGGTCGCTGCTGACCTCGAGCTTCTTGGTCCGGAGGGTGGCATTCTCAATCATGGCCGCGAACCAGTATTGGGACGCGCCGCCGTGCATGTGGACCTGGAGGGGGGTGGAGTCGGCGAACGGGCAGGTGATCCATTCCCACTCGATGCCGTTGACGCCGCCGCCGGGGTTCCCGTTGGTCAGCTTGGCCCAGGTGTCCGGAGTCATGTCGAGGTGAGTCGCGTTGCCGCCGGTGCGGTTGGTGACCTTTGCCATGCAAGTTAGTAAGAAATGAAACGCAGAGCTTGGATTCATCCGTTGGTTCTAACCATGATCGTGAGAGTCTTGCCCTGGTAAGTCACAGAGATGCAGCCACCGCAGTTGGCACCGTTGTTCCAGATATCGTCCGAGACGCAGGTCGACCCGTCAATGCCGGCGGGCAGGTCGTAGCCAACGAAGCTGCAGGCACCGTTCTCCCAGCAGTCCTTCTCGGTGCAGCTGCCGCCGTAGCGAGTGCCCAGGCCGATGAAAGTCTCGCTCGAAGATGTCTGCAGGGCAGCAACCGCCGACGACGACATGGTGGTGGAAGCTGCCCCAGCGTTCAAGGGGTTGCTGGAAGAGGTCAGGGCGGGGGACTCGGCGGCGTTCGCCTGGGAGGGTTGCATCGAGGCCTGGACGAAAGTGGCCAAAGTGGTGGCGGAAGGAGGAGGCGTTGTCTGGGGTGGTAGGGCTACGGATGCGGTCGAGTTATCCGCAGGCTTGCCTTGGTGGTGGTGGTGGTGGCGTGCCTTGCAAGCCTTAGCGTCTACAGCGGCGGATAGGGCGGCCAGGATGGCGACAGCATAGTGGGAGATATGACCGGGAATCATGGTGAAGGTTGTGCTTGGCTGTGCGGAAGCTATGGTTGTTTTAACTGGCAATGAGATAGAAACGAGTGAAGCGGTGAAAATTGAAACAAGGAACGAATGAACGAATGAAATAGCTAGCGAGTGAAAGTAACCAAGTCCTTGCCTGATGGGAATGATGCTGCTGAGGAAATTGTCTTGATTACCGGTACAGTGAAGCTCCTTAAGTATGTATCCGGAGTTATCCTCATCAACTGCCATTTCCACTATGTCCAAGTCCTCGTCGCCTTTTCCGACTTAGCCGATCAAATTTTAGTTAAGATCATGCACCCATTCAAACGTCGCCGACATTGACGACACCATCAGCAGACCCTTGCGCATCGACGGTTGAGGCAAAGAAGATGGCACCACAGAAGGACCCTGCCAATCTATCTACCTAGGACAAGCCAGAACGATTTCTTGGCCGAACATCCGGCCGTGCGTATTGAGTCCTGGATTGCGGGGTGTGCAGGACGCGCTCGCACTAGCCACAGCCACAACCATGGATCCACGACGCCCATGATATGATGATGGACAGGGATGAACCAAACTTCTCGAGCCTTCAGATCCAAAATTTAGGCTGATCTAATGATGACAAAAGTGAACAAGAGAATTGTGCGACGACAACCCCAGGTGCGATCGTTACCGTAGTCTCCTAACACGCAAAGGTTCATTCTTCCCGTTGTCGCCAAAGTCCAGACCCAAGGGTCATTATTGGTATTGGTTCAACAGACACATGGAAAGTTGGGGAGATGATGCAATGAGTTAACGAGTGTTGCCGAAAGAAAGAAAGATCTACCATACAGCCAACTGGCCGTCCGTGCAATAAACAAATAATCGCCCTGATGCAGGCATATACCCAGCAAAAGTAGCAATACCGACCACAGTATGGCACCATGGGTTTAGCACCTTTTATAATTACAGCAACGACTGTTTTGGGTTAGGCCTCGCACTCACTATCAACAGCGAAGAATATTTCAATAACACTGAGCAAATACCCCCCCCCCCCCCCCCAGGCGGATACCATGTTGGCTCCAGGCTGAATCGGCTGAGAGGCTCGCCTGCTGGCATACAATCGCCCATGGCAGAATGCAAGCAAGACGCTCGTCAGTACAATGCGGCAGCAGACGTACGGAGTATTGCAAGCGACAATCTTACAGGCGTTGCTAAGCTAGGGTAAATTAAGTCACGCAAAAGTATGGTCCGCCACGTCATTGCCATAAAGCCTGCAATCTCTCGCGTTCTTCTGATACTACCTATACAAGTGCGTAGGGGCAAAGGATTCCGGGAGGGGATGTATGGGTACCATGTGTGTCTGAGCTGGTGAGTTTGACCATGATCTTGGAACCGGATGTGAGTTGGACGACAATGAAATGACCAACCTACCTGCGTACTCGGTAAATGATGCTTGCTTCTGTAGAGGAAGCTGAAACCACTTGGCGAGAAAATAAGCACTAACCAAGGCTTAACCTTTCTCCACGGTGGAGAACCAATTAAAAAAGCAAGGCTCAGAAAGGTTCAAATGGCAGGTTTCCACGTGCCTATGTGTGAGCGGGACGGGAGATCAATAATGTCTGGGGGTGGAGTTCGGATGATTTGACAGGGCCGGGTGGACCCCACCCGGAGAGGGGATACCCATACTGTCCCCGCCTACCGGGTCCGCCCAGGATCCGCGTAATTAGCCATGGCACTGTGAAACGTAGGACTTTTGGTTCCCGACCCAAGGTCCATATAGTAAAAGCACACATAAATTAACCAGTAAATACACAGTTAACCTATAGCAAATAGTTAGGGAGTAGGCAGTAAAATCGCCTTACTTTATTTAATAGTAATTTTATTAATAATATTACTAGGATTAGCCTAAGGTTTTCTAACTAAAAAATAGGGGGATTTCCTTATTCCTATAGGATTTTACTATAGTTATATAACATAAAATATAATTATTAAATTATAAGGACTATAATAGTTAATTAATTATATTATATATAACTATTTATAGTAAAATCCTATAGGAATAAGGAAATCCCCCTATTTTTTAGTTAGAAAACCTTAGGCTAATCCTAGTAATATTATTAATAAAATTACTATTAAATAAAGTAGGGCGATTTTACTACCTATTCTCTAGTAATTTGCTATAAGGTAACTATATATTTACTAGTAGATTTATATATAATTCTACTATATTTAGTATACCTCCTTAGCACTAGTAATATTATTAATTACTATAAAGCTTATATTAAATATCTTTTATATATAGCTTATTTACTTATTAATTATTTTTAAATATTTTATATATTTTCTTCTTCTATCTAGTAGTAAAGCTTTACTTATTTATTAGCTAATTCTTATTATTAATTTACTTTAAGGTGTATATATTAGTTACTTATATTTAATTAAGCTATAAATATAGTAAATTATAGTGTACTAAGTGTCTTTATTAATTTACTAGCTATTAATTTAGTAGACTTCTTATATTAAATAGTAATTTAAATTACTACTGCTTCTTAGTGTAGCTAGTAGTTATAAATATCTATAAACTATAGCCTTATTTCTAGTTAAATAAGCTTCTTAGTAATAAACCTAATAGTTTAAGTATTATTATAACTAATATAAATAGTTAGTAGCTATTTAGTAGCTATTTACTTATTAAGTAATAATTTGTTTTCTAGTTAAGTTAATAGTTAAATACCTAGTATAGTAGTTAATTTACTAGTAAAAAGTACTTTATTTATAGTAAGTAATTAATAAATATAGTAGAATTATATATAAATTTACTAGTAAATATATAGTTACCTTATAGTAAGTTACTAGAAAATAAGTAGTAAAATTATCTTACTTTATTAGTAATTTTACTAATAATATTACTAGAATTAGCCTAGGATTTCCTAATAAAGAAATAAGGGGATTTCCTTATTTCTATAGGATTCTATTATAAATAGTTATATATAATATAATTAACTAACTATTATAATCCTTATAGTTTAATAGTTAATAGTCTAATAAATATATTTATAATAACTAATAATATATATATATAATAAGTTATATATTATAGTAAGTTATATATATCTACTTATTTATTTATTATTTTAATACGTTAATTTAACTAGATTATATAAAATTAATTAAAAGTATATATTACTTTATTCTTTATTACTATCTTAAACTACCTTATAAGTTTATATATTATATTTAGTCTTTTTATAATTACTATATTATTATATAAATAGTTTACTAGTCTTTATATAGCCTTCTTTTTAAGATATTTCCTTACCTTTAGCTTTAACTACTTTCTTTTTTTCTTATAATACTTTTACTTTAGCTATATTAAGTGACTTCTTAAAGTATAGTTAGGTCTTTTTAGCCTTTTAGTACTTCTTAAGTACCTTTATTCCTATATAAAGTTAATAGTTTTTTACCTTAATAATAATAAGTTAATATACTAACTTACTAATACCTTTTAACTATAAGTTAATTACCTTATATATTAGTATTAGTAAACTTTCTTAATAGTTTTTAATTCTTTTTTTTAATAAGGTAAAGCTTTATATATCTTTAATTACTATTCTAAGCTAGTTAGACATAAGTTTACTAGTGTTAGTGTTTTTAGCTTAAAATCTAACTAAAAAATAATAACTTTAGGATTAAAAGGTATAAGACTAGCCTATTAAAAACCTATTTATATATTTATTTTACTTATTAAAGTAAAAATATTACTTTAAAAGTAAAAAAAAGTTATCCTTAGTAATATATAAAATCTATATTTATATTATTTTCTTAATTCTTTTTACTATATAAGTACTTTAAAAGGCTAAGATAGCTAATATTAAGGGCTAAAGCTTATATAATAAGTAAAAAAGTATATATAAAGTAATAATCTTTTTTTCTTTATAAAAGTTATTAAATTTAGTTAATTTATAGCTATTATAGCTATTAAGAATTAAAAGTTAATAAGTACTTTTTATATAAGACTTTATATACTAAGTAAAATAATCTAACTAATTTAAGCTAATCTTATTTATAGTCTATTTATTTTTACTTAAGTAAATATACTATATAGCTAGAAATTTACTATTAAGGTACTATAATAAAAGGTAATATTTACTTTTTATAATAATATATAAAGGTATTACTTAGCTATTTATATATATACCTTAAATAATAAGAACTTATTTATAATTACTAGGCTACTTTATATAAGGCCTTTTATATTATATAGAAAGTATAATAGCTTTTATATATAATAATATTCTTAGTAAAAAGCTAGTCTTATTAAATTATAAATATTATAATCTTATATCTTATACTTTATAATTATATTTTATATAAGTATAAACTAGCCTTATATAATTATAAAATCTTTAGCTAAAGCCTTTAAATAGTTAATCTGATATTAAAATTATATTCTTAATTAGGGTTATTACTACATAAAGTTCTCGGCTTATTAAGGTCTAATATATATCTTATTATATATATTAAGAAGTTAATTAGCTATTTCTTATATATCTTCTTATTATAAAGAAAACCCTTAATTAATTAGGTTAATAATCTTTTTAAGAATTACCTCCTCTTTAGATATAGTTATCTTTATTAAATTTATATATATTTTACGTTATACTTTTTAGCTAGTATGTTAGTTATAAAGTGTAGATTTAGGCACCTAGTAGATAGAGTCTACTTTTTATATACATACTCTTAGGTCTCTTTAAATAGTTACAAGTATAAAGATAATCTAGGTTTTATAAGAAGAGGATTCTATTATTATATATAAAGTAAAGTTAGTTTAAAGATAAAGATAGTAAGAATAAAGTAGATATATATAGCTTACTATATATATATATATATTATATCTATTTACTAATTAAATACTATTATAATAATTAATAAGAATAATAATAATAAAGTAACTATTTTATAATTATTTAGTAATTAGTTTATATAGCTTAATACTATTTAAGTAAGAGTAAAGCGTTATAATCTCTAGA